CACCAGCACGGCCACCAGCCTCCTCCTCACCACCTGCCACCCAAGGGCGACGGCTCAAGGCTGGTGAGAAAAGCTTAGCAAGCAGAAAGCCGGCTGAGCAGCCATGGTGGGAGTGAATTTAATTTGAGCACACTGCCTTACATTCTGAGTGAAACTTATTATATGACTTATATAATAAATGTGTATACACCAATATTATCAATTCAAAACATCTCACAAAACAGCTCAAGGAGCTCTGTAGAGAGTTCCTATACAGAAAAAACCAATACTTCAGTGGCACCTAGCTTTATAAACCAGGGCATGTCCTTCTAGAAGACAGAAAAGACAGATAATTCTTGACACATTGGTGGGTAGTTAAGATCTGTATACTGCACTGCAGGTAAACTATGTAACAGGTAAAGAAAAGAGAGAAAAGTAGAAGATGTGGGGATATGGAACCCTGAAATCGAAAACCCTTTCCACCCAGAACTGAACTAATCTCTGTGGCCCAGCTTTCAGCCAAACAACAGGCTGAGGGAGTGAACAGGAAGAACACTGGGGAAGTACTCAGCACTTAGAACAGTCAACCAAGAGAGAGAAAGCAGGAAAGAGTAAGGCAGAAGGATGAACGGAAGTCAGAATCAGGAGGGCAACAGATGAACGAGGATACACAGAAATAAATGCAAATGATGTCAGGAAACAAAGCGTGCCCAGACTGTTAAATGGAAAATTCATTTACTCTAGAAACTTTCACTCAAATTTTAAAAAGCTAAAAGTTTAAAATAAATAAGTAAATAAATAAAAACCCCACATAAAACAAACAAATCAGAAATGTCAAAAAGAAATGAAGGAAGCAACATGTCACTCCTGTGAGAAGTCCTCCCCCAACATTCCCCTTCATCATCCCTGGACAAAACACTGCTCTTCTAAGTCCTGTGAGGACAGAGAGCGCAAGAACCTTCCTCAGTGGAGAAGGCACAGGGCACCTCCCCGCCCTCACAGCAGGCAGGGCCCTGAGCAGGGCACAGGATGAGTCTCTGCAAATGTGCTTGGACTATTTGTTCTCAGCACGTCAAACTGAAGAACAACCTGTGTGATTAACAGATGCTGGCCGAGTTAGCCAAGAAAGTGAGTTTCTCCAAATCTCATGCAGGGAGTGTTCACTGCATTTCACTACATCAGTCCTGGTCTCTTGGCCCCAAGCAAGGAAGTATCCAGAGGGGGCTGGATACCTTGGCAAAGCCTCATCAGGGCCTAAGCATGGCCACATGGGGCCTCCCACAACAGGACCAGTTCTGCTGCCCCACAAAGCCTGCTGTCCCCAGTGTGCCGAGCCTTCACCTGCCCAAGAAGAGAGCTCATGAGGGCCACTCACCCAGCCTCGCAAAGGAGCTCCAGAATCCTACACAGCAGTGATGTGGGGAATCTCAGTATACGTGTAACCTACAAAAGTCTCCTTAGCCTGCCCATTTCTTCCTCAAATGAGTGCTTTTCCTAACAAGTGGATTACTTAGGTACTAACTTTCATTCTTCCTGTCTGCTTTCTGTTTGGTGTGAAATGGAGTATGAACAGGTAAAAGAGAAGCGGACTTAAAACAGAAACCTAAAAGGCCTATTGTTGTTCGGTGCCGTCAAGTCAGCTTCCACAGATCTGACCTGTGTCTCATCCTGGACCATCTCTGATACACTTGGGCCACCGTTAAAGACACTGTGTCAACCCATCATCTGAGTCTTCCTCTCCTCTGACCCTCTATCTTCCCCAGCACGATGTGTTTTTCCCAAGGACATGCCCAAAGTAAGTGAGGTCATGTCACCCTCCTTCTCACCAAGCAGCTCCCTGGCTGCACCTGTTCCAAGACAGACTTGTCCACTCTTTGACCCTCCATGAGCCCTGGACACCATGAAAATGAGACAGCCTCTCCAATAAGCCATATGACTTGTTTTAAAAACACTAGAAAGATATGCTGAGTCTCTGATGAAGTAAGACATCACAGAGGTCTTCTGCCAATGTGGTTCATCTCAAGCTGCCTGTACCCGGCCCCCGAGCCTTCCCGGGACACAGCCTAGTGCACTGGAAGGACAGATGGCCTGGACTTCATGCCTGGGATCTCCACTTGTCCTGGTCCCGCCCTGCGGAAGGAGGCTGATGGAGCGCTACGCCATCCCCACAGACGGCCAAACACTCATGTTTGGAGAGCCATAAGCCTAACGGGGACACCAGGGCGGCCATTCACACATGCACTTACAGCTCCCTGAGGGGCAGGCCCTGGGGAAAGCAGGTGCTCCGGATTTCTGTGATGTTGTTCGAACTCAGATCCAGCACTTGCAAGGACAGGTAAGCCTTCAGCTGACTCCCCTCCACGCTGCGGATCTTATTATGTTGCCTAAAACAAAGAGAAGTGAGTTGATCATTTACTTTTGCAAAGCCACTCTAACCAGAACCAGCTGCCGGGGAGTCCCCTGGCACACCCCAGCCCCATGTGAGCACAAGCAGAGCTGGCCTCTGGGAACTGCCTGCCTAACTCGACTGGAAGCAGCTCGCCAGGCCTTTCTCCTGAGGGGCTTCGGTAAGGTGGTGTGACTGCAAACTTTTCAGTTAGCAGATAAAAACATTAACCACTCACAACACCCGTGACTCCAAAGAGGCTAGAGCTCCCCATCACTTCTTCTAGATGCCTTTCCCTCTACTCGTTTTAAAATGTGATCTCTCATCCTTCAAGTTTCTATATGATGGCTGGGTACTCCATAGGATATTAGTTTTTCTGTCCTTTCTCAGTGACAAGGTCTTAGGTCAAGGTCGGTGATACGTGAGACCACGCGGAGGACACCAACACCTGAGAACTCCATCAGAGGTATGTGCCCGGGCTCACCAGCCAGTGCATACCTTGGCTCACCAAACATCTTCACAACCTGTTCAAGTCATGTAACTTCCCATACTATGGGTGCCAGAGCCAAGTTCAAGGCAACTGAAGCCACCATTACACACTTCACACTTTACCAGCACTGACTACGCTCCAGGTTGGAGACAGGCCGGGGATTTAAACAAACTAAAACGAGATGATAATCTTGTTCACACTCCAAGAGGAACAGGAACTGGCTGGTCTAAATGGCATTGGGTATGCGAACCTCCTGACTATATTGATCAGTAAGAATCTGTTACAGTATTCCCTCTTAGGGCTTCAACTTAAAATAACAATAACAACAATAATAATAATATCTGGTGCCTTCAGTGCTCTAGGCCTCCGCCTGCTCATCTGAACAATGGGGTCACGATTCCTCATCACCACCTAACCTGAAACCCTATCAAAGGATTTGCAGACAGGAATGTAAGTTTCTAGAGTGTTTACCATCTGCCCCAAGGAAGATCATTGTCTACCCAAAACATGTATGCTTTTAATGTTCCTTCTGTCAAAACCACAATCTGACCAACCACTTAGTATTTATTTATCAGAAGCAGCCAAGGCTGGAGGGTCCATCCTGACAGATTCAGACCATCACCCCCAGTGCCATCCTCAGACACTCAACTGCTGGGCAGCAGCATGGACCTCTGGGTCCCACCAGACACTTGCCCCAGCCAGTTCCTGAGTAAATCATGTCTGTGTCCCCGGCCAATCAAAGCATTCCTGTACACAACACAAGTAAGCCAGGCGTCACTTACAAAGTGGCATCTCCTTTAAATAAACACTTGACCAAATCATTTCCAACAGCGTAAACAAGGACCTCTTTCCCAGAAGCGCTGGGCTTCTCATCCACTCTTTGTTTTTTCACACATCTCTCAGACCCTGGACTCAAACATCCATTTACAGGGGCACCAGTCCACACACAGCGCTGATCTGAGAAAGACCACTGTTCCCACCACCTCCCCTGACCTCCCCAAAGCCACTTCCCCCGAGTTCTTTGTGTGGTTCTTTAGTGAAGTCTCTTTGGTTTTCTGATTCAAAAGAAAGAGAAAAAGAGGCGAAAACTTTTATTATGTAAAGCATGGGAAGAACAGAACAAAAACTAATGGCAACAGACCTGGGTCTAATCCAGGAGTTCTGAATGCAGTTCCAGGAGCCAGGATGAGGGAACAGAGTCAAGAGAGGAAGGGGTGTGGGTAAGACCGACCTGGCTGACCAGTCCAGCTGCAAGCCCCCCGACACCCCCAAAATGGGCCCTGTCCTCTCCTTTCCCACCTCCCTCAAGTTCTTTCATCCCAAACTTTTCCAGTCTGTTATTAACTGGCTGGAGTATACGCTGGCCCACTCTGCCCCAGCCCCGTGCGGATAAAGGGCACTGTGATGCCCACAGGTCCCGTTCACACGCCAGGAAAACGTTCCCAACACAGCAGAAGTGGCAGCCATGGAAATGAGCTGCACAGTGCCAGGAGGAGGGGGACCACCGGGCACCTAAGGGGGTTCCGCCTGGAAGAAGAAGCAGGGCCAGCAAGCTCCACAGGGCATGAGGTAGGCACTCAAGTGGAGACCAGGTGGGTCCGTAGGAGCTGGAGGTCAGCCACGCAGGCAGGGGCACCTCAGGAAACTCCTCACAGGGTAAACTCAGAAGCTGGAAAGCTCCATCAGAGTGGACCAAGCGAGGCCGCGCCTGTGGGGAGGCAGATACAGGAGACGTGGGGTGTGAACAGGGGAGCTAAAGCTAGTGCCCAGATGGGGGAGATGCTGTATGCAGAGGGGACTCTCAGAGGACCAGGCGAGCTGACTGTCCAGGGCGCTGCAGGACACAAGTGACCAAGCCTGTGAGAGCCCCAGAGACCCTGAAGGCTGATGCCAGCTGCCAAGCGTGCCCTAGACAGCCAGCTGCTGGGCCTTCTCACTCCCAAAGCCAGTGGGGCTCAGCTCCAGGCCTATCCACCAACCCCACCGCACCTGGAGAAGCCAGCTTATCTAAGACGCTCCTTCCAGGACCACAGCCCTCAGTCTGAAGAAACAATGGTCAGGCACCCAAAGGGAAGAATGAGGGTGCAGCCCTGAGCTGAGCTGGCTGGTCACAGTCAAGATCGTCAAGAAATCCTCCTGGGTGTGTGTGTGTGGGTGGTGTGTGTGTGGGGTGGGGGGTGGGGGGAAGAGAGAGAATCTTCTGAAAGTTTACAGAAAAGCTGGATTTTCACTGATTCATTGTTGCACATTTTCTTCCCTACCCTCTAGCCAGTACCTCCCTCCCCCTACGCCAGTTCCTCCCTCCCCCGACCCCTCCCCCAGTCCACTTTGCTATGCATCTCTTATTCTGGACTGTTGTCATACAAATATTGCTTAATCATATATTCCTCCTAAACAGTTCTTTCCTTCATCTGTTCCAGTGCAGTGTTCATTATTTATCCCCTCTTAATTTCCCCCAAACCCAGTCTTGTTTTATAATAGTGGTGTTACATAGTATTTGTCCATTTATGACTGATAAATTTCACTCAGCATAATATCCTCCAGGGTTACCCATGCTGTATATTTTATGAGTTCCTTGATCTTCCGTGCTGTGTAGTACTCCACTGTGTGAATAAACCATTAGTTTTCTATCCATTCATCTGTTGATGGGCACTTGAGTTGCTTCCATCTCTTTGCTATTGTGAATAACACAGCAATAAACATGGGTGAGCACACACTTGTTTGGGAGGCAGTTCTAGTTTTTTTAGGGTATATTCCCAGTAGTGGAACTGCTGGATCCAACTTTTTGAGAAACCACCATACTGCCTTCCATAATGGCTGCAACATTTTACATACCTATCAGCAGTGAATAAGGGTTCCAAATCTCTCCACAACCTCATCAACATTTGTTGTTTGCTGCTCTGTTGAACTCTGCTATTGTTATTGAGGTGAGATGGTATCTCAGTTTTTTTCATTTGCATCTGTCTGAGAGCTGGGGATTTTGAAGATTTCTTCATGTGTTTGTTTCCCATCTGAATGTTTTCTTTGGTAAATGTCTATTCATATCTTGTGTCCATTTTGCAATGGGGTTGTTTAACTTTTTCTTGTTGAGGTGCTGGAGTAGTCTATAAACTTTAGATCTGAGTCCCTTATCAGATACGTCATTACCAAATATTTTTGTCCCCAATCTGTGAATTTCCTTTAACCATGTTGGAGAAGTGTTCTGATGTGCAAAGGGATTTGATTCTTAGAGGGTCCCATTCATCTATCCTATTCTATTCTATTCTATTCTATTCTCTCCTGGTTGTAGAGAAATCCTCCAAGATGTCAATGACATGTGCAAACACAGGTGCTAATCATACTGTTCTTTTAGCATAAGTGCCAGGTGCCAGAAGAGCCCCGGTCACCTTCGTAGCCTCCAAATCCCTCTCTGCATTCCTCCTAACACAGCCGGCCTATGACAGGGAGCTGGGCCCAGTGACAGGGCAGTGCAATCACACAGCAGGTGCTCTTAAAGCTCTGCAGAAGAAGAAATCTTCTGGAATTTGCGGAGAAGTGAGAGGATTCCATTTCGCCTGCCCACTGGTCCCCAACACAATCATGAGGGGCTAGTCCAGATCTGACCCATATGCCTTCAGCAAAACCCCAAACTCAAACTCCCTTCTGCCAAGCAGATTCCGACTCCCCGCAACCCCCCACCCAGTGCCCAAAGCTGTACATCTTTACAAGAAGAGACTGTCCATCTTTCTGGTGCAGAACAGCTGGTGGATTAGAGCCACTGACCCTTCCGTCAGTAAAGAAATATGCTCAGTCTTGGCTGGCTATTCCTCGGTCACCTGACTCAGTTGAGCGCCTCGTCTTGAGCCAGCTTCCAAGGTCCTGTGCAAACCCCAATTCCCTCAGCAAGTGAGGCTGGGGCACTGACGTTCTCACTCACTGGTACCCTGGGTGGCTGTGTCTTTACAGAGCAGCCTTTATTCTCATTCAATCAGTGACAACTCTTGGCCACACTTTATCCTTAAGGGACATACAGTCCAAAGGGAGCCACTCATTTACTAAAAGTGCAAGGAGAGTTTGAGGGCAGGGACAGCGCTGCGCTTGGATTCCTCCTCACTGGCTTCTCATCAGAGGGGACACACCAGCCTGTCCTGCGGGCCATGGGTCTGGGGAAAGTATGTGGAGGCCAAGTCACGTGCCACCTGCTTCAGTCCAGTGTCAGTTTACCCCTTGGGCTGCCCTCTGGGGTGAGGAGAACTTAATACAGCACAAGTCTATTAAACCAACACCTGTTAAGGGCTTCAAAAATAAAATCAGTCTTCAAAGGCAGAGAGTATGCAAGATAAGCTCTCTACACTTGGCTACATTTTCAGAGCCGATGTTAAATTAGACAGTAAAACAGACGAAGGCATTTGAAACCAGTGTTTAAAACTTTTTATCATAAGTGATTGTTCCACTCGAGTTCTGTGCAAGCCTGGTTTACAAGGTATTCCTGTTAATAGTGGAAAAGATCTCATGTCACAGATAATAGC